ATATATGTTAGAATACTACTCAGTCATGAACAATGAAAACATGTTATTTGTAGGAAAATGGATGGAGCAGCAGACCACTGTCTTAATGAAAGTAAGTCAGACTCAGAAAGTTAAGTATCACATATTTTACCTTACATGAGAAGCCAAACAAATAAAATAAATATGACAGAAAAACTAAAAGGTAGACATTTAGAGATGGGTAAGGGGACCAGGAGGAAAAGGAAAGGCACAACTTCACGTGGACTGTTAAAAGGGCAAATTAGTAATTACAACAAGTGGCAGATTAGGCACCTGGTAAAAAAAAAAAGTTATATTCTACTTTCACTTTAAAGTTGTTGAGAGAACTGTATCTCTAAAGGCTGAAAGGGGTACTTGATTATCTTAACTTTAACATTTCTAAGCTCCAAATTCATGAATAAAATAAAATCAATGCCTCAAGAGACATCAGGAAAATTATTCTAATAATGAAAAACTCAAAGTCTTAAGTAATATTTTATTATTACTTGGAATACTCCTAAAATATGATTTAAAATATTATCCTGTGCTTCTTAAAAACTCCTGTCTAGCGGGGCATGGCAGCACACTCCTATAATCCTAGCACCCTGGCAAGCTGAGCAGGATGATCAAAAGTTCGAGCTCAGCACGGACAGTTTATCAAGCCGCATCTCAAAATAAAAAATAAAGAGGGTAGGCACCTCGCTCTGTGCAAAGCGCCCGGGTTCACTGCCCCAGTGCCACAAAACAAACAAATAGGTGGAAGTTTATTTCACTGAATATATTCAGTAACCCAATTCTTTAGGAACCAAGTAAAATTTATAAAACAAATGTAATTCAGGAGGATTCACTTTACTGCTCAAAACTCATAACGATATGTGACAGACTTGAATTCAGACAGCATATCCAAAATTGCTGGATCAGGTCCGCTCCCCCTCCCCACTTTTCAAAATTTACTTCTGAGCACAGAGGAAAATGAGAAAACTCCTCAGAGGCCAGAAATGATGAAAAAGCAAGAATCCACAGGGACAAGCAAATACGAAGGAGCTAGCATGTGCCCAAAGCCCAGGCTTCAGCAGACAACAGGCTGGCACAGGGCATGCATGGCACAAAGCCGGAGTGATGAGAAGGGTCAGTCATCATGTAAAGTAGAAACAAATACTCCTGCACTGCAGAAGGGACAGGGTGGCTACTCACTCTCACTCTTGGGTTGGGACAATGGAAAGAAAGAGAATAGAGAACCCTAAACCAAAATACTGCCCTTGGCCAGGTTTGGGGCCTAAATTTTATGATCTGTTTAATTTGAAAGGCCCCAAGTCAAAAAATTAGAAGTCTCTCAGGCTGGTAGTGCTGAGAGACACTTAGCAGAAACAAACATATCTTCTCTTGAGTACACTCTAAATTCCAGGCTAAGAAATGTACCAATGACCAACAGATCTTCACTAAATGAACTTCTAAAGGAAATACCAAGAAGAAAGGGAAATTACTTTCTCAGGATAAACCAAAATTCAAGATGCCAGGTGTGGTGGTGCACACCTGTAATCCCAGCACCAGGGAGGCTGAAGCAGGAGAATTGTAAGTTTGAGACCAGCCTGGGCTATACACACTGAGTTAAAGGCCAGCCTGTGCAACATGGCAAGACTCTGTCTCACTAAAACACAACACACACACACAAACAAAAATACAAGAATGGCAAGCAAAGTAAGTTGTTAAGTGAAACATGTAAGTAAACCAGCTATACATTTAACTTCAAAAAGGAACAAAACATCAGGAGCAATAGAGTCAAAGCATTCTAAAGCCTTTGTGTTCATCAGAAAGTCACTGAAGATACCAATGCTGAATGAAGGCGAAAACAGTGAGAATCTCCAGAGCAGTTTCTCATGTACCTGTGTGGTGCATGCACACTGCCTGGACAGAGGGTGTGGTAGCAATGGACTCTGGATCAAGATACAAATCCCGGAAAAAGAGGGCCAAAGTTCTTGAGAAGAGAGAATTGAAACAGTGAAAATATTAAAAAATGCCATGTTGATTAAAGGGAAAAATACAAATCCAACAGTGACATACTACTTAAGAGATGTGAATGCATCTTTTGAAAAGAACAAAAAAAGTACGGTATTCTGAAAAAAGAAACATATTCAAGACCTTCTGAGGAT